TGCCATGTGGGTGCTGGGAACTGAACCCAGGTCCCCTGCAAGAGCAGTCAGTGCTCTTAACTGCTGAGTCATCTCTCCAGCCCAGAAGCAGGCATTCTTACTGACCACTCTAGAGAAGTACATTTCTCCCAGGACTGTGGGGACTGGATGGGCAACCTCTCTCCTTCCCCTTCTCTTCCTCAGCTGATTGTCTGCTCTTTCAGCCCCAGCTCAAGCTCCGTCTCTCCTAAGAAGCCCTCATTGATCCCAGGTATGACTTGATGTCTCCCCTTGTCCCTACAGGCCTGGATTCCCCCTACCCTCATCAAAGCCCTCTCTACTGCCAGGTTCCAGGGCTTCTAAGCCTCAACTCTGGGAAAGCACATCTTGTCTTAGTCACCTGGGTCCCCAGATCCTGGTCCACCTAAGTGTTCAGAAAATACTCTCTGAAGAACATGGAAAAGGGTAGACCAGATGCTCAAAGCCACTTCTGGGGAGACTCTGCCTCCTTGGACCCTTGGTCGGGAGCGTTTCTCTGCTGTCCCCCAGGCCATCTTGGATTCCTTCTAGCACAGCAAACCACAGTGATAGTCTTTTCTAGCATGCATGACCGTTAACTTCATATGCTTATCAGTCGGGTGTTCTGTGGTGCTTCAGAACTAAGCCCCCAATCTCAGCAGCTTGTAAGAATGCATTGCTTTCCTGCCTGAGATCTGCTTAGGGGTGCATGTAGGGTTCAGGTCTGTACCTCTCATGCTTGGAAGAGGCTGCCTGGGCCACTCCTCCTGTGTGGAAACAAAAGCAAGGAAGCAAGGGGCATCTCCTTTCAAAAACTTTTTACTTATTATTTTATTTTATGTGTATGAGCATATTGACTGCATGTATGTAAGTGCGCTCATGTTGAACAATGCCTGCAGAGGTCAGAAGAGGGCATTGGGTCCCCTGGAACTTGAGTTACAAATGGTTTTTAGCCATCAACTAGATGCTGGGAACCGGACCTAGGTCCTCTACAGGAGTAGCCAGTGCTCTTAACCATCTCTCCAGGCCCGAGGGACAACTCTTGAGGCCCTCTTGCAGAATTGGCATGGTCACTTCACATACAAGGCAGGGAGAGAAGGAGTTATGAGCCAGCAGTACTGTCTACACAGCCGTCATCAGTGAGGCCAGCACCTCACACTTACCTTGTCCTTACTATGTTTCAGGGATCAAAATCAGCCCACTTCCTCTTCCTCAGGAGCGCCAGGAGGAAAGGTATACTGTTAGCCCCTGTGTTTGTTTCTTTTCTGTTGCTGTCATAAAACACCATGACCAAGGCAACTTAAAAGAGGAAGAGTTTGTTTGGCTTACTGTTCTGGAGGGATAAGAATCCATCATGGAGGGGAGGCATGGCTGACGTGGAGGCTGGAGCAGGAGGCTGAGGGCTCACATCTTCAAGCATGCACAGGAAGCAGACAGAGCAAACTAGAGTGGGGCAAGCCTATGAGCTCTCAAAGCCCCCCGCCCAAACATGCTTCCTCCAGCAAGGCCACACCTCCTGAAGGTTCCATGACTCTCCCCAAACAGTGCCACCAACTGACCAAGTGTTCAAATACTTGAGCATGTGGGGCATTCTCACTCAAACCACCATACCCATTACACAGACGAAGGAACCCAGGCCAGAAGAGGTTCAGGGACCATCCAAGCTTAAGTGCTCAAGAAGGGAAGAGATCTCCACCTGTAACTGCACATTCCTCCCTCGGCCTCATGAAGTGTTTGTGTGCTGCATTCATTCAGCCCTGGGTCTGGGGTAGACTGGTCACATCACCTGGCCAGGTCTTTTGCAGAAGCAAGGGGAGGGGGCATGTTTCTTGATCATCTATTTCCTGTAAGTCACTGCTGCTTTTATAGATATCACCCCACACCACACCAACAGCAACCTTGGAGTTAGTATCTACCACCGCATTCCACAGATGAAAATCCAGGACAAGGTACAGCAGCACCCAGCCAACATACAACCTGTTCTGAGAAGAGGCAGGTTGGGTAAGAAACGACTAAATCAGGCTGGGGAGGGTGGAGCTGGTTCCATGTCAGAGCCCTGGGGAAATGAAGTTGCATTGGAGAGAGAGGGAAGAGGGGAGAGGGGAAAGGAGGATAGGGAGAGAGGAAGACAGGGAGAGAGGAGGCTAGGAGAGAGAGGAAAGGAAGGAGAAACGGAGGGAGGGAAGAACCCCCTCTCAAAAAGACCCGCTGAATTCTACCAAAGCACACACAGTGGTTCCCAGCGGCCAGCAGATGGCAGAACTTGGCCAGAGATTCTCCAGCGGGCGGAGGGTTGGGCAGGCAGCCCTAGTTGCCAGGTACCGCCCTCCGGCTCTGGGACCGTAGGGAGTCTGAGTCCTCCCACTGCACCCGGGCAGGGTCGCCCGGCCTTTAGGCATCCTCGCACCCGCCCCGGGAGCGTCTTTCCTGCCACCTGCACAGCTCAGTTCCCTCCTAGGAGCCCAGATACCCAGTTGGGAACCCCTCCCCTAAATCAGCCTCCTAGAGGGGTGGGAGGGACGGAATCTGAGGTCCAGGCCAGGCCATTCGTAGAGACAATAGTTCTTGGAAAAATCGCACTCCTGCGGGCCTCACTTTCTCCATGTTCGATGAGGGATTGGATTGGGCTCCGTAGGTCTAGGCTCTGGGCTCTACTTTCATTCATTAAACATCCCGGAAAACAAAGAGGAAGCGGGTCGCTGAGCCAGCAGGAGGACCATGGTCTCTGCCAATCCGAACTGTCAAACACGGAGGGTGGGGAGTCCTGGGGACCCCGCAGGGGGGTCCCCTTCCCTCGGAGTCCCCGCCCCCTCACTGTGACATGGGGCGGGGGAGGTGGCTTCTCAGTCTTGGCTGAGATCCGGGGTCCACGCCCCCACCTCCAGCTGCGCCCCCCGCTGCGGTCCCTCCCTCTCTCCCTTCTTCCTCCCCTTCCTCCCCAACACCGCTCACTCTCCACCGAGCAGCTGCAGGATGGCCCAGGCTGGGGAGTCCCCGGGTTTCGGTACCGGTACCAGCATCCACCGAGCATCTCGCAGCTGAGGCAGGGGGGCACCCGGGAGGAAGGGGCGGCCTCGCTGTCCCCGCCCCTGCGCGACGCTCTGCCCCCTCCAGCTCCGTGCGCTACTACAACCCGGCCGGCCGCTCCCACTACACCCTGCATCCTGCCTCCCCCGGTACATCCTCTGCATCCCGCATCCTGGTGTGCATCCTGCACCCCACATCCCCGCACGCATCTCGCATCCCACATCCCTGCGGGCCGGGGATGTGGCAGAGGCCGTAGCGGGAATATGGGCGGGAACCACTCCCACAAGCCCCCGGTGTTTGACGAGAACGAGGAAGGTAAGAGGGCCCCGAGCCCGCCACTCCCCACACACGGGGCTCTGGTGTTGGCTGGGCATCCCTTCCTTCAGCCTTCCTTCCTGAGTGCTGAGTGCAGCTCATGGGTGGGCGCGGGACGCAGGCACAGCCGCGTCGCCCCGCGCTGGTGATGTGCCGGGCGTGGGTTTCTACCTGGACAACTCTTACACTTTGATGTGGTTTAGAAGCCGGGACCATGCTGAACCCGGAGCTGGGACCCAAGACCGGGAGGGGAGAGGGGGACTCAAGCTTCACTTGGGGGCGTCTCAGGGAGGAGCTGGCCATGCAGGCGAGTAGGAGGGGGAACTGTTCTCCAGCTCAGGCTCCCGCGAAGCCGAGGTCGCCTTCCGAGCTCGTGGCTGACAGAGGTGGCCTTGTGCATGGCTGCACGGGAGCTGTGCCCACCGCCCATTTAGTGCGCACCAGCACGTTGACCGTGGCTCTCTTCCTTCGCCCCGGATGGCATAAGGAAAGCTTGTGGCTGAACTCTGTGGCGCTGAGGAGGGACTCCTGCTTGGGGCACCTGGAGGCCGGAGGGTGCTTGTGGCCACAGAACTAGGTGTTTGGGTATCTGATTTAGCAGAGCCTAGGCAGCTTTTTTTAGTATTTGCTTCCATAGCTGCGTGTCCCTGACAACTTACTCAACATGTGCTTGTGGCCACAGAACTAGGTGTTTGGGTATCTGATTTAGCAGAAGCCTAGGCAGCTTTTTTTTAGTATTTGCTTCCATAGCTGCGTGTCCCTGACAACTTACTCAACATTCTCTCTTTTACCTGAGAGCGTACCGTAAAATTGTTGGGAGCTCAGTCATTAGTCCCGAGAGGAAAGTGTCTTATTTATACGAGTGGGTGTAACTCTGCCAGTGCTACTAGTTGTGTTAATAACCCTCGGCCTCTGCACGCCAGCTTCCTACTGTGTGTTCCATTTCCTCTGTGCCCCAAATGAGAGCCCAAACATTCCGAGCTTTCCTTCGCGCCAGGCCCCGGGCTGGGTTTACTTAGTTCTAGGCCCTGGACGGACTGAATTTCTCTTCTGCTCAGGACACAAGCCATGGTTTCTAGGAGCACCAAGCCTATCATTGCCCCTCTCAAAAGGAGGGGAGCGTCCCCATGGAGGGTGAAGCAAGGGCCTGCTGGACTAGCTGGGCTTTCTTGTAGGAGCCCAAGTCCGGTGTCTCTGAAGGACTCTCGGCCATAGGCAGTGCAGGACATCTACTGACCCCAGGTCTGCATGGCAACCGAGGCTTTTCCTGGTCTTCATACTGGAACCAGGTTGGTAGAAACTGGATGGGGTCAGACCAGAGACTGTAGGAGTTCTGTGTGTGCCTGAGGGACTTGGGGTACCCTGCAGCTCACCCACAGCTTTCATGGTTTGTGGTCCCAGCCAGGGTCAAGGCTGTGCTTCGGATAACTTTCTTAGCATCTTTCCCTCGGTGTCATTTTAAAATCATTCTGAAGGTTCAATTCTGCCTAAAGTAGACATCGACTCTTATCTATCTTGGTTTAATAACACAGTCCTGATGTTAATCCTCTCCTTCGAAACATGTCTTCACCTCTATGTAGAATATCATTTATTAACATTGAACGCTTCAAAATTTTGCCTAGTTTCTTCTCTGCCAGAGACTAGTGGGGTCTAAATGTACCTAAATCACACCTTTTCTGCAGAAATATTGCATATTGATTCTTGACTTCGTGCAGATTTCAGTTTTCTAAAGAAAAGAAACTTCAAATTAAATGAAAAGTGTTTCCTTCTGCTCTTCAGGACACCGAGGAGACACTATTTCATTATTTTGATGTTACCATTTATCACTCCCACTTTGCTGTTAATATGGGATAGGGTTGGTAGCACCAATTCTCTAACTGTACATGTGCATATGTATTTTATTCTTATAGAAAAAAAGCATTCTTTCATGCTTTTTTATCTACAGAGGAAATATCTCACCTCTGCGTGGACAATGATCTCTGCTGTTTATTTACACTCTATTTGCTTTAAAATATTTATTGGCAAAGGAGTCATCCCAGCATAGCTGGCTTTTTGGTTTCCCATTCTGAACGTGATGGCCCCTGAGGTCAGCCACCTGTTTTGGCGCTTGTTGAAATTCAAGGTTAAAATTCTCCAGCCCTGTGGAACGTGAATGCACTTGACTTTACAGCCTATTTTCTGCATTTCTTGTGTGTGTGAGGTGATGTGCTGCCTGATGCTTCGTTATTTCGTATGCATTTACACATCATCTTTCCCACATCCACCCCATGCAGGAACAGGAACATGACAGGGTCCCCAACTCTGGGAGCAGGGAGCAGGGAGCAGGGGTTGGAGAACATGCTCCTTTACACTAGACTCTGGCAGAATAGCAGCAGTTTCTGGGGGAAGGGACATTTCAGAAGATGGGAGAAGAGTTCCTAAACGTTAGCAAAGAGTAAGTGTTTTAGATAGTGTCAACTGGATACTCTTGGAAGAGGGAACCTCAGTTGGGGGATTGTGACTATCAGATTGGCCTGTAGGCATGTCTGTAGGGGGCATTTTCTTGACTTCTGAGTGATATTGGAGGGCCCAGCCCACTGTGGGTGGTTTTACCCCTAGGCAGGTCGTCTTGTGTTGTATAAGAAAGCAGGTTGAACAGGGGCCGGAAGAGCAGGCCTCCATGAAGGAAGCATTCCTCCATGGCCTGTGCTCCAGTTCCTGCCTCCAGGTTCCTGCCCTGAGTTCTTGCCTCTGCTTTCCTTGATGATGGACTGTGAGCTGTAAGCCAAATAAATCTTTTCCTTTCCCAAGTTGGTTTTAGCTAGTGTTTTATCACGTCAATAGAAAGCTACCTAGGACAGTAAGCATGGTTCATTTGGGGGTCTTTTGGGGTTTTAGTACCTCTACAGTGTACAGTGAGAGGTTGCAAAGCAAAAGAAATGATCCTTGAATGCCACGTCACCCTCAAAGGGCCCAGGGCCTTGTGTGGGTGCAGGGACTTGATCTTACAGGCATTTTGGAGCCACTGAAGGGTTTCAGGCAGAGGGTGACGTGGTTCAGTGAACAAGCATGTTCTCTCCCGGTCACGGCTGTCAGGCGGCTGACATGCTAACTCCTACCTGAGCGGAACATGGCTGACTTTCAAGGACTTGAATGTTAAACCAACGTGAGACGTTTGCTCCTCTGTAGTGTTCCCCATTCTCACGGGAGCTCTGAGCTCAGCTTGGTCTGTGATGACAGTTATCACACTAGCATGAACCTGTGATGACAGTTATCATACTAACATGTACAGTAAGAAGCTCAAAAGAGCACTTTCACATCACAAGGAGGGATGGAGACTGAGGAAACGGCAGTGTTCTGCTTGGTGACCTGTGAAGCCATAGAGTATCTACTTTGATGGTTTAGCGGAATGTGGTACATTTGCTGAGCATCCTCGAGTCAGAAATGACAGAAAAGCAACAGGAAGTGCTTCTACTTCTAACGGGCTCTGGCCGCTCGGTCCCGCGTTCATCACTGCCATTCTTCCGCAAGCCATGGCCCCCGTTCTGACTGAGGTTGTAAGTGTGGGCTCCTTCTGCCCTCCTAATTTCTGCCCTTGCCTCTTCAGCATCTTCTCAGCACAGCAGGGTGAACGGCCTGCTGTACAGAGACAGGCTGTGACAGGCCTCCTCTTAGATTGCTTCTTTCCCTCTCTCTGGTCTCAGGGACAAGTCACATGAAGGAAGTCAGCATGGCAGCAAAGTCCTCATGGATTCCCATCTGTACCTGCCCTCTGGACCTCACTCCTCTGTCACCCCAGCTCACCTTGGTCCTGGCCCATTCTCCCCATCCCCTCAGGTCTTCAGAAGGCCCTCACCGACCATCTTTAAAACGGCCTCCCAACGCCTTCCTCCTTTTTATCTTTTCCACCAGTCATCACCATCTACCATATTATTTATTTATTTTCTTAGTTGTATTATGTGTCAGCTTTCTGTCACTGTTACAAAGTACCCACGACAAAGAGCTTATGAAGAGGGAGGGTTTATCTTGTAGGGTTCACAGCATGGTTACTTGGCTCTGCTGTTTTGACCTGTGGCAACACCTCATGTCATGGTGCAACACATGGCAGAGGTAGCAGTCACCTCCTGATAGCCAGGAGACAGACAGAGACAGGAAGGAGCTGGGTCTCAATATCCCTTCAAAGCCGTGCTCCCAGTGACCTAACTTCTTCCTTCCTCTGAATCCAAGTCTGCTGTTCTTTACTTAGGAAGGGTCAATGAACCGAGGACAGGTTTTTGGGCAAAGCAAATGGACCAACTAGACCACAGGAGGAGGTGTCGCAGAGAACCTGGCAGCTATAAAAAGATACCTGACAAGAATCAACATGAGAGAGAAAGGCTCAATTCTGTTTCACAGTTCAAGGAGACACAGTCCATCAGGAACTTCCTGCTTGGTGGCAGGAACAGGAGGTGGCCGGTCACATTGTATCAGCAGTCAGGAAGCGGAGACTGAACAGGAAGTGAGTCTGGTTTATACAAACCTCAGGGCCCAGCCCCAGTGATCCATTTCCCCTAGCATAGTGCCACCACCTCTTAAAGGTTTTGCAACTTTCCCAAACAGTGCTACCAACTGTTTGACTAAGTGTTCAAATGAATGAGCCTGTGGGGGAGAGTTCACATTCAAGCCATAACACAGGTGAGTGGTTCATTTGCATCAGTCTTGAAGGAGCAGAGGGTTGGGCACTTTGGGATAAATCAGCCTTATGCTGTAGTTCAAATGAATTAGGAGGCCTGAGTGGTCAGGGAGGCAGAGGGTTTTTTCCAGCAGAGGGTGGCACAGGTTTGACTGCTCTTCACAGGCCCCATCTCCAGATGGTTCTTTCTCCTCCCATTGGTGGCGCAGGCCAATGACCAAACCTTTGGCCCATGGATGGCTGGCGACATTCTGCACCCAAAGCCAGAGCACCGTCTGCTCTCCTTCACTGAGCTATGAGTGCGTTAGGAAGGGAACTGTGATTCTCATGAAGAGCGAGAAGCTCTGTA